AGACATAACACACAGGTTTTACATTTTGCTTGGCCTCCTCAGCATTAGTCCATTGGTCTTTATCTTTTACAGCTATTATTTTCTCCTACTTCTTTCATCTAGACATATAAAGCTAAAACAGGTATATTTGAAATAAATGAAAGAGTTAAGCTCAGTAATCTAAGAATCCAACTCCTGAAGTTGCAAAATACACACCAGCATATAATTAAAGAAAACTGGAGGGAAATGATAAAAATGAGAGGATAAACTAGTAAAACTAGGGGAGTAAATTAAATTAGTCCTGAATAAAATTAAGGAAACAGCTAATTAACATATACTAGTGTGTGTCAAATAAGACAAAGGTTGGTTCAAAGAAAAGCTTTGAAAGAATAAACCTCTAGTTAAAGTGATCAAAAAAGAGAGAAAAATATTTAATACCAGAAGGGTGAAAGGAGATATCACCATAGATAGTTCGTATATCAAAAGGTATTAAGAGAACTTTATAAACAAGCTTAATCTAAAATATTTGAAAATTTAGATGAATGGACACATTTCTTTATATAAAGAACTTACAAAGCACAAGAAGAGATGAGAAAATTTCAATCATTTAAAAACTATGAATAAAATTAAACCATAATTTAAGGTCTTCAAATACAATAAACTCCAGTCTTTCCCAGTGAATTTCACTGAAAATTTAAGGGAGGAAAACTTCCCATAGAATAGAAAAAGAGGGAAAGTTTTTTCCTGTTTTGGTTATTTGTTTTGTTTTATTTTTTTGTTTGTTTCTTTGTTTGTTTTTTAAGAAAGAAATGTTTTAAGTCATTAGTGAAGGTGGCATTTTGTATGAAGCAAAGTTTGATACAAAAACCTGACAAGGACTTTTCAAGAAAGGATCATTACATGCCAATTTTACTTAAGAATATAAATGCAAATATCCTAGAAAAAAATACGAAAAAGCCAATCAAGCCATGTATAAAAAAGTATAATGTGTCATGAGAATTGTGTTGAGAATTCAAAGATTTTCTTTTTACATTCTTTGGCCAAATAATGTAATTCACTGCATTAGTAGAATAAAGAAGAAACTCATTTAATTAGCTCAGTAAATGCAGAGAAAGCATTTGAAGAAATTCAATATATATTAGTGATAAAACTTCTTAGTAAAGTAGGATCAGAGAGAAACTTCCTTACTATAAAGTGTCTGCATGGTAACCTACTGCCAACCTCACATTTAGTGATGACACATTGGTAGATTTCTCTCTAACCTGGATGGATGAAGGATACATCATTTCCATTGAACATTGTACTGAGTGGCCTGGCAGGAGATGAAGCAAAAAGAAACAAAAGCAAAAACAAACAAAAAAAGGATTGAAAAATAATTATAAGATTGAACAAAAATAATATTGTCAATATTTGGAAACAAATGTGCCCTTGTGTATACACTGTAAAGAGGACTCTTATAATTGATAAGAAGCATAACAAAGTTTTTGATACCAAGCAATATAAAACTTCAACTATATGTTTTCATATTCCAGCAAGCATCAGGTAGTTAGAAAATCCAAGTTATTAGAGATAACGTTGCAGTGCTGAAAAATGCAACTCCTTCTGTTATCCAAATAGTAAAAGATGCATTAGAAATGCTCTGAGAAGCAAAGAATGATTCCAACTCAACCTACAAGCAATTCAATGTTTGTTGAAAAAGCCCTTTATCGTAAAATCTCTGAATGGATCAAGGTGGTCCTAGCAAATGTTTTCACTGCAGAAGGTGGCTCAGAACAAAAAGACTAAAACTTTGGCTCCCCCAAGAAAGCTAGATAACTTTAGACAGAGCCTTATCTTGAAAATACTTATAGGTGTTGCTATTGGCACATTTGCAACATTTAGTTAATTAGAATAAAATTGACAAAAGACCAATAAATTGTTCCAGAGCAACATACTGTCAAAATGCAACCAACCTGAATTAAGAGTGAGGCTCTTCAAGGTGTGTAATGACTTGAGATTTCCTAAATTTCTATTGGCAAGAAGTGGCTGAGGAGAAAAAAAGAAAAAGAAAGGAATATGCAGAGGGTGAAGTCAAAAGAACAAGGATTGGGGGGCACTTCCTGGTAAGCAAGCACAATAAGATTCTAAGGAACATTCTTTATCATCCAGATAAGCCCTCTTGGCAAAATTTGCCAGCAGGAACTCACAGTTGCTATGAATCAGTGACTGCTATGTGCCTCCCTTTCTTCTTTCTGAATGGGAGGGTTTGTTGTGATTATTATAACTGTACTTCTGAGGTTGTTACGTCACCTTATGTACTTAAGGCTGGTAACTCAAACGTAGCTACACACTTTCACATGATCTGTTCTCACATTTTTTTCTTTGGAATTTATATGAGTGTTATCAGTGTGGGCCAAGTCAGGAAAGCAGATACCACTCTGTGTATTTCCAAGAAATATTGGTTTTAATACAGGAAGTTGGAGGTTTACACATCTGTTGAAATGGTCTGGGGAGTAAAGGTCAGGAAAATCCTGCTAGAGGTTACAAAAATTACATTGCAGTCAATGACCTCAGCTGCCTACAATCCTCAAATGGGTAATTTGCAGAAGCTCACTTAGGTGTTATCAACTTGAATGATATCAGGAAAAGCTGCTCGTCCCAGGTGCCTGTAGCATGGAGGTGGAGGATTTATAGGAATTCATTGCGGAAGTCGTTGCAAACCTCCTATGTGCTGCCTGCCTGTGTCCCTGTTGGCAAATGCCATTGGAAAATAAGGGCTTCTCTTTTTCTTCTGTCTTTGAGATCTCAAATGAGAGCCTCTCATTGTTAGATCTTAACCTAAGACCACACTGGAAAGGGATTCTCCTATGATTTAGAGGAGAATGTAAGGGGTGAAAAGGATGTACGGTTGGCAACAGACAATCTGATAAATGAGCAAAACCTAAAATCTGATGTAGACGGAAGACATGTATGATTAGGGTGTGTTGCTAGTGCAAATTCTTAGCTTTTGACACTTATCAATATCAGCTTGAAATAAGTCATCTGTTTAGCATAATTAGAAACCATCAGTGCAATCTCTTTTAATATCAAGGTATTTTAAGTTGTTTTGACATATAACCATTCCACAATTTGTTATCAAGGTCAGCCAAGGGAAATTCAAGTAGTGAAACTCCACGAGAAAAAAAAAAAATGTTGTGTGTAAACATAACAGATGAGCCACAATAACTTTAGGTCAAGAATTATAAAAGCGAAACTTCAATGTTTGCCAAAGCTCTGGTTGATGCATTATTCATATTACTATTTGAAATGTCTAAGAGATTTTTAAAATATTAATTTGGAAAATCACTCTTTAATGTGATTTCAACAGTTATGTATTCTTGAAATCTCATCTTTGCTTTTAAAACCGTAAAAAAAAAAAACTTCAATTTTTGCTTTAGAAAACTGAAAAATATTCATACTATTGAACCAGTCTTGTTCTTATAGAGTAATGTCACCATCTTGTGGTGTTTTAAGATATTGCTGCTAAAGGTATTAAAGGTTATTTTTATATCTATTAATAATATAATAATACTACTTTTTTAGTACTTGTCTCTCAGTCAGTAAGACATGTATTTAGCCAATGAATAAGCAGTTTTGTCTCAATCTTTTAAAAAAGATGTTTAAAATTTTTAATAAATAAATGTTTATTTTTGAGAGAGACACAAGAGTGTGAGCAGGAGAGGGTCAGAGAGAGAGGGAGACACAGAATCTGAATCGGGGTCCAGGCTCTGAGCTGTCAGCACAGAGCCAGACGCAGGGCTTGAACTCACGAACGGTAAGATCAGACCTGAGCCGATCGGACACTTAAGGGACTGAGCCATCCAGGCACCCCTTGTTTCAATCTTAATATAAATATCTGCTTCAAAACAGATTTAAAAATTATTTTCTGTTTAGAAAAATGCCTATTACATGGAAGCCTTTTAGTAAATTTAATAACCACCTAAAATGTAAGTTACATAAAAGAATAGTCTTGTTCATGGATCAGTCTCCCAGGCCTGCAAAGCAGTACTGGGCAACGTTGGCCCAACAAATGTCTGATGAATCATTGAATGCAAATATCAATGAATGGATGCTTTCTATTGTAAACATTTTAAGACAAATTAGCTTCAGAATTTTCCTAGTTTTCTAACAGACCATGCAGATCAATACTTGTTTTTGTTTCAAAGAACCAGATCAGTACAGAGATTTTAGTACTGAGAGATTTTAGTGTTTTTGTTTTGCTTTGTTTTGTTTTATCAAAGCTTTGCAAAATGACTTAGTTCAGTTATATATTGATAACTCGATTTGGTTTTAAATAATTACATGAGAAAGATATGCAGGTATGTTACTGAATTATTTTTGCTCATTATGAGGGATAAAATGTAGTGGAAAGAGCGCAGGCTTTGGAGTCAAACAGAACAATTTCCACTCCTGGCTTTGCTGGCAGTGTGATTTGGGGAAACTAAACTTTCTGAGTTTTGATTTTTGTCTACTGATGTTGGAGGTAATGATAACCTTTTTTGTAGTATATAGGTAAACTAGAAATGTGACTTTGTATTAATTTGAATGTGTGATTATTCAAAACTAACAGATTGCCTCCTCCAGGTGAATCAGTCACCATTTATGAGTGATATATTTTGTCAGGTATCATGCTAGGCTTAATTGAGGAAAGTATACACACAGAGATGTTTTATACTTGTTGAAAAAAAATTTAGAAACAGCTAATTAATATTATTTATTCTGGGTTGAAATTCCAGTTAAATTCAAGCCCTGACATATATTTAAATAAGTTTCAACCAATACAATTTTGGGAACCTTGTTATATAAGCAATTAGTTAATTTTAGGATCATATTTTAGAAACAAAATGTTATTATTTTTAAGAAAGTACAATTTATTTCCAGTCAAAGTACATTTCTTTACAAAAATTATGTCATCTTCACTCCAAATAAGCGAAATTCATAACATAATAACGTCCCTGTTGTTTGTTTTTGTTTTTGTTTTGTTTTTTGTGTTTTTTTGTCAGCCATCATTCTTTGTAAATGCACCAAGTTGGGGTAAAAATTCCCTGGCCCTGTATGAATGCTTTGGTTGGTCTCCTGTTTTTCCTGCTTGTTTACAGGTAAGTCTTTCAAGACATTTTAATTTTCTTTATTTCTTACTCTTTTTTTTTTAATTTAAATTTTAGTTGACATACAGTACAATATTGGTTTCAGGCATAGAATTCAGTGATTCATCACTCACAACACCCAGTGCTCTTCACAGGTGTCCTCCTTAGTACCTACCACCCATCGAGCCCATCTCCTACCCCCTCCCTCCCTCAACCTATAGCTTGTTCTATATCATTAAGAGTCTTTTGGGGTTTGTTTCCCTCCTCTTCTCTCCCTACCCCATATGTTCATCTCTTTTCTTTATTAAATTACACATATGGATGAAATCATATGGTACTTGTCTTTCTCTGATTGGCTATTATTGCTTAGCATAATACATTCTAGCTCCACCCACATCATTGCAAATGGCAAGATTTCATTCTTTTTGATGGCTGACTAATATTCCATTCTGTATATATACCACTTTTTCTTTATACATTCATCAATCGATGGACTTTTGGGTTCTCTTGTAGTTTGGTTATTGTTGATAATGTTGCTATAAACATTGGGGTGTACGTACACTTTGAATCTGTATTTTTGTATCGTTTGGGTAAATACCATCATGTAACTGCTTGATCACAGAGTAGTTCTATTTTTAGTTTCTTGAGGAACCTCCATACTGTTCTCCAGAGTGGCTGCACCAGTTTGCATTCCCAAGACATTTTAATCTTCAAATACTTTCTTAATTTAGTATTTGGAATTTCAAGCTCTTTACAAAAATAAAAACATCAAACTTGACTTGAGATTTGCCCTTCTTGCCTCAGAGTTATCCCAGACTTTCCACAGCTGGCTTAAATTTTGCCTTCTATTATATTCCAGGTAAGAGGGAGGGAGAAGATTTAAGGTAATTGGATAATCTTTATTTGTGGATCCTTTCCAGCTTACCACCCCTGGCATCTGGTTAAAACTGACTGTCTCTGGGAGTCTTTGGCAGATTTTGCCGTCTTTCCCTCCTGATGTTCCCCGATGGATAACCGTTTATGACTCCCAGAATATCAGCAATTATACCTCCAGGTTCTTTGTGGTCCCCAGTTATATGCAACCCTCATCTCTAGAAAACATTTGTGCAAGTCATGTCTGAAAACCTTGAGTGCACCCAACTCTTGATTTTAGCTCAGGTCATAATCCCGGGGTCATGGGATCAAGCCCCATACTGGGCTCTGTGCTGAGCCTGGAGCCTGCTTAAGATTCTCGCTCTCTCTGCCTCTCTCTCTTTCTCTCTCATCTGCCCCTCTCCTCTGCTCACATGCTTTGTCTCTTTCTAAAATAAAGAGGTTAAAAATTAAGAAAAAAACCAAAAACAAAACTCTGACTGCAAACCTATCTCAAGGCAGATCCTTAGATCTGCCCCAAAACAATCTATCAGCTTTTTCCTTGGTCTCTATATTTTCCATATAAGGGTCATATCCCAGTTCAAAGGTGACTTTGACTTTATCAGACATTAGCCAGATCTCAGTCTCCCATGTCTGCAAATCTCAGGGAACGTATTTCTAACTAAGACATACCAGGGAAGCCTCCTATGGCTTAAAGGGAGAGAGGCCTCATGTCTCCACTTGACAAGGGAGAAGGCTCAGAAGGAAGCAAAAGCCCCTATCAAGGAAAATTTCCTTGTGATTCTTCCACTTAGTTATTTTATATTCTCGAAGTTGGTGAGGGGAATCAAGAAATCTAGAAACAGTTCTGATAATTATATTTTGGAAGATTATATTTTGAATTGACAATTTACATTAGAATTTCATATCTATTACAGCTTAGGCTTCAGTGTAAATTATATACATATTTATATACTCAGTTGTACGTCTGATCTAAAATTTCACACTATGTTGTAGGAAAGTCAGAGCCTGGTAAGCAAAGAACTGCTTCAATATTATTAATATGTCCAAGATCTAGGGAAAACTAAATCCAGGGGAGACAATTAATTTTTAGCATTATCATTTTGTCATAGTTATTTTTCAGTATCAGCATATATGCAATTGAAGTTTGATTTTAAGTTAAGTGATTTCACACACTATGTTACAGGTGTCTTACATATGAAAAATCACCTCTGTCCATTTGAAAGAAGAGATCTATTACAAAAGATCATCAAAGGCCAAGTAGAGAAAACATACTTGATGTTTATAAGAGACTATCAATGGCGTAAGTAGACATTTAATGATGTGTGAATCAGGTAGCTGGAATGAGAAAATTCTGTGTGAAATGTAATGATATAAATTAAATTACAGAATAAAAATAAAAGAGCTTAATCAGGAACATTTATAAGTACAATGAGTCATTAAACTGCCAAGTGTCCGAGAGAGCCAAGGCTGCAAAGACATCATTTTCCCTTTTATAGAATTCTCTAGGGACAGATCTTATTGAAGAGATTTTAGAAGGAAAAAGAATCAATAGACTTAAAATTCTGAAGTGATTATTAGTCTGGATTAATATGGTTGTCTTTTTAAGAATTTAAGGCAATAGATAAGGCAAATTAATTAAATGATCACAAGCTTTCACAATAATAAATATTAACACATTCTGAAACCAACTTTACTGTCATCATAGAACCATCTCTCTCTCTCTCTCTCTCTCTCTTTTTCTGTGACTCTTCCATACTTATCTGAATATAATTTAAGGCAGCTTGATGATAGGACTAAATTTTCACTAAATTTCTTCCATGTGTATTTTTATGATAATTACACCCAAATATTAAGTTAAAAGGAAGTTGGGTAGTAGGAAATTTGGGGCTGGAAGAGACCATGTTAGGCAAAATCTACTTATTTCAACAAAACCAAACCAATTATCTTGTATTTCCTATTAATGTAAGAGGCCCTAAAATTTATACATAATATTCATGTGGCATTACTATGAAAACTGAAATGCAAAATCAAGGTAAAACAATCAGCATATTTAGTGGTATAAGTGAGTTTTGATTAGTCAGAGGGCAGCTTTCTTTGAGCTCTTGCAAATGAAAGCTGAACACTAACATTTATAAGTGGGTCATCCAGATCATAATTCATATTTAATAGAAGGTGTGATATTTCCTAGCATAGGAAAATCTCGAGACCTGTTTAAGAAGAAAAATTCAAATTGTTCTCTCTTGAGATCTGTTTAAGAAGAAAAATTCAAATTGTTCTTAAGGCCAAATCACCCTTTCAAAGGACAAAATTACAATCTCTTAATGAGAGTGAAGACAATACAGTTGTGATTGTTTAAAGGTAAATTTAAAAATTCAGTGCTGGGTAATTATAAGATGTGATGGGAGGGGAAGGGAAGGGAAGGGAAGTTAGTATGAATGGGACCTTGCTCCATGTTTCTGTGTTACAACCACAGTACATTTTTCCAGTGGGAAGATGAGATAGAAGCTCCTTGTGACATATGTAGCTGTAGTCAACCTGGGATAGTCTTCAGCTTATTTTGCTTTCTATAAATTTTAAAGTCTGTACCTGAGAAGTTTAAAATGTATGGTAATACTTTCTTGTGATCCTATGCACTCTATACAGTCTTACCCTAGAAAACTAACCTTCTTATATAGCTGTCTCACACTCTGGAACCACTGCTTTTTTTCTCCTCTGTTTCAAAAAAGATATTACAGTTTTTCTAGATGTAACTACAGCTATTTCAGGTCCCTCCCCAAATCCCACGCTCTTAATCAGTACTGTTGTGCTATGCAAATTCAGTTATTGGTTATCTGAGCTGAATCATAGTCTCCTCACCTCTGATTTTCACTTCTACCATAAATGATACACATATATATTGTTCTCAGAGCCATAATATCTGCATAGTAAATGTTTAATACCTGCAGCTCAGTTGAGGTAGTTCTGCTGGTCTTGGCTCAGCTGTATAACTATGTTTCAGGCTATATGCCTGCCTGGGCTTGGATTCTTGCTGTTAACCCCAGGCTCAGTTCTGCCCTTCATGTGTTCATTCTGCACCCAGATATCAAAGGTCACAAGTTTCTTCTCATCACAATATCAAAACTACAAGAAGGCAAGTCCAGTGTACAAGCCCATTTCAGGAATTTTCTTTTGGCCAAAGCAAATCATAAGTCTAAATCCAACATCCATGAAAGTGAATATTTGCTGGGTAATTTAAATGATCATAACTTTCTTGTTTTAATTACTACTGACATATAAAAAATTACCCCACAATAAGTGATTAAAAAACAATTTTTATTTTGCTCATGATTTTGTTTGCCAGGAATTTGGGCGTGACCTATCTGTACTGTTTTTTTTTTTTTTAATTTTTTGAATGTTTGTTTATGTTTGAGAGAGAGTGGGGAAGGGGCAGAGAGAGAGGGAGACACAGAATCTGAAGCAGGTTCTAGGCTCTGAGCTGTCAGTACAGAGTCCGATGTGGGGCTTGAACCCATGAACCCTGAGATCATGACCTGAGCCGAAGTCAGACACTTAAACAAGTGAGCCACCTAGGCACCCCATTTCCATATTGTTCTTGTTTCAAGTATCTCAGGGGACATAGTGAGATGGTTGCTGAGGCTGCAGTCCTTGAAGATGGATAAAAGCGCTAGATAACCAAGAACTTACAGGGCTGGACACTGATGCTGGCTGTTGGCTAAAAGCTCACCTGGCTATTGCCTAGAGAGCTAACATGTGGCATCTCTAGCATGGAAATCACATAGCAGTGGGATTTTACATGACAAAGTCCAAGCAGAGTCAGAAGAGATTGGGGATTGGAAAAGTAAGGAATAGAAAAAGCCTAACTCAATTGCCTTGTTGGTTCACAACCCTCTTGGGAGCTTCCTGGATAAAATGTGAAACAGTCCCTGCACGTGGAGGGGAGGGAGAGACAGAAGAAAAAGGCAGGCCACCTGAGATTTGTAGGTGGCAGGTTTAATAAGCAAAGGAGCATCCAGATGAGGCTTGTTTTAGGCAGCAGCAAAATGAATAGATCTCTGCACCCACCTGCCAAATCTTAAAAGTTTATATAGAGGCCTTACTTTGTTTCAGTCTCATATACTGACAACATGCTTTTAACCCCACATCACTATCTCAAGGCTTTATCCTTGGGTCAGCTTCTGGGAGTGGGGAAGGCACACAGAAGCCACATTCCAAGGACAGGTTGGGATGAGGAGCCTCCGATTACTGAGTTCAGCTCATGAGTCCACCGGCAGTCACATCCCCTCAATAACCTTCCCTGCAATTAGATATTGGTACTTTCCAGTGTTGGGTTTTTTTGAGACGTTTTCAGATTGTTAGGAATACTTTAGTGTCAGAAACATTCTTGCAGCTTTCTTTTAAAGGATGATGCAGGTCCTCCAGAAGGCACTTACAATAACCTACTTCTATCATTCGATGTCTACCAATGATAGATACTGTTCTTCATGCTGAGGATGTGTCCCCTATTGGAAAGCCCTTCAAAAATAACCCCTTGACAACCTTCCACAAGATCCAAATATGAGCAAGGTCTACCATAAGCTAACCCCCCTGACAGGCTGCAGGCGGACCCCACAGCTGGCTTCCGTTTCACTCCTAATCACTTTGTGGGGTCCAGCCGAGTCTTTGTTCCGTAGATTTCAGGGATGTGTCAAATACAGTTACTTAATGTCATTTCCAAATACCAAGATTTTGTTCCTTTTGCATCAGGATTTTGCCTTCCAATTTCTAAATCCGCTGGCAACTGTGATTTCCAACCTGTCTTCTTCTCAGACCAGTAAGACCACTTCTTTCTGTTGGGGCCCTAATCCATGGTAAGGCAGCAAACTGGAAAGGCCTCACAGACAAAGTTAGGTAAATGTCTACCTTGAGTATTTCTTTTGAATCGAGGATCACAGTCTCTCAATTTTCTGGGTCTGTTTTTGCTTTCCAGTGCCATCAAATCATTTATTCTTTCTCTGCTTTTCCAAGTGTTACTCAACTAAGGTTTGGTTAGTTTCAGGCAGTGGCTTGAACATTATACACAGAAGTGGAGGCCAGACATTTGTATCCAGTGCTCTGAGCCTAGGCAGCACCTCGGTGCCCCAGTTGTTTGACAATTCCATTCAAGGGTTAAGCTGTCGTTAGCATTCATTTATCTCTGGGTTTTGTCCTAGTTTCCCTTTCAAAAGTGTTGCTTTCGCTCAGTTAGCAGCATTTAAAGATAATTATTTTTAGTGTATTTTATCTGATATTGTAGTTGTATCAAGAGAGAAAATTGTTTGGGTAATTCTATCCTGCCATATAACTGAAAACAGAAGTGTTAGATTTATTTTCCACACTCATGACAAAAATGTGAACCTAAAAAGTAAATATAAGCAAGCATACTACTCCCATTATGAAAATGATAAATGCCTCACCAATCCTTCTAAATTCTAAGCTCCTCAAATGGGATTCCGTTCGTTCAGCCCTTAAATGAGTCGTCTTGCCAGTCTCACCAGTCTCATTTTGAACAACTCCCTTTCTTTCCTTCCTTTCAACAACACAAATTTGATTGTGCCCAGACATACTGTACTGCGTCATAGTCCAATGCCTTGTCTTCACTGCCTCAATTTCAGAACTTTGTAACTTTTACTCTCCCCTGCAGGTAAATAAAGCCACTCATTTCAAGTACCAACTCCAGGAAGGCTTTCCTGAAACCTCTTTAACACAACATGCACACGCGTACACACACACACACACACACACACACACACACACACACGCTTGCATTTATGTTTATCACCGTTTAACTGCAGTTATAGATCCTGTGCCATGGAGTTTCCGGTATTTTTTTTTTGTAATGTTTATTTATTTTTGAGAGAGACAAAGTGCAAGCCAGGGTGGTGCAGAGAGAGAGGGAGACACAGAATGTGAAGCAGGCTCCAGGCTTCAAGCTGTCAGCGCAGAGCCCGACACGGGGTTCCAACCCACAAACCTCGAGATCATGACCTGAGCTGAAGTCAGACGCTTAGCCAACTGAGCCACCCAGGAGTCCCTCTGGTCTTTTTTTATGTGTAAGTGTTATTTCTCCAGCTACATATCATACATCTTAAAATTTTAGGATGGTATTTTTATTTCTAGTTTGCTACATATTACAGTTGCATTACACAGAAACAAAAATATTATTTGGCTTCGTAATCGTAATTTTCTTGTCTGGCCATAATTCAGTTCTTAGGTTTTTGTCTTTTTTTAAACTTTCTTGCTCATATTGGCATGATAAATAACTTATACCATTATATATTAAGCTCTTGAATCATTTTTTATTTTATTTCATTTTTGAGAGACAGAGAGAGACAAAGCATGAATGGGGGAGGGGCAGAGAGTGAGGGAGACACAGAATCTGAAGCAGGCTCAAGGCTCTGAGCTGTCAGCACACAGCCCAGCACAGGGCTCCAACTCACAGACTGCAAGATAATGACCTGAGCAGAAGTCATACACTTAACTAACTGAGCCACCCAGGCCCCCAAATCATTTTTATTGAATAAAAATTGAAAAAAAATACTATATCACAACTGTCATAAATTCATAATAAGATCAATGCTAGACTTCTCTAGAAGGCAATTAAACATTCAGCTACTTGACTTAAAATATTTTGTGTGGGGCACCTGGATGGCTCAGTCAGTTGAGTCTCCCACTCGGTATCAGCTCAGGTCATGAGCTCCTGGTAGCAGAATCGAGCCCCTCATCAGGCTCTGTGCTGAACATGGAGCCTAGTTGGGATTCTCTCCCTCTCTCTCTGTGCCCCTCCTCTGCTCACACACTCTCTTGCTCAAAATAAATAAATAAAAATAAACATTAAAATAATAAAATATAGGGGCACCTGGGTGGCTCAGTTAGTTAAGAGACCAACTCCTGGTTTTGGTCAGTCATGATCTCACAGTTTGTGAGTTCAAGCCCCACCTCAGGTTCTGCGCGGAGAGCATGGAGCCTACTTGGGATTCTCTTCCTCTCTCTCTCTGCCCCTTCCCTGCTTGCTCTCTCTCTCTCTCTCTCTCTCAAGATAAATAAATAAACATTAAAATAAATTAAAAAATATTTTGTAAAACAGTTACCAATCGTGAATATAACTTACAATGAAATGTAATCGGTACAAGGCAGTGTAGATGATGACACTCATTAATTCCTTTGCGGTCTTATGGGAAACTTCAGAAGAGATGAGTTTATCCATATGGAGTAATGTTTGCTTTATGCTGAATGTACCTTTACTTTAGTTAGCCCATATTTTCTGTTTCCATAAATTATAACTAGTTATATACTAGGAAGTGTATGCCATTTTTAGCTGATTTTAAACTGTGTTAATAATCTGTCTTTGTATTTGACACAAAAGGGTTATTTTCAGGGCATGGTTTAATCTTGACATGTATTGATATGGATTCTTTTCTAAGTTGTTTTTCTCATATATGTTCTCTATAGTTTTTGCTTCTCGTGTATCTCTCATAAGCAATTCTTGAAATAGAGCAATTCTTAAAATAGTTTTAGAATGTGGTTTGATTGAATTCTTTCAATCATGACTACATTTTGCATATGTATTTAGTGTTTCTAAACTTTGTCCAAATATCTTTAAATTCAGACTGCACAAATGTACCACATATATTTTATACCATTTCATGGTGATTACACCCTATTGAACTTTTTTCCAAGTGATACATCTACTTGATTAGTCCTATGGCAGTTTGCTTTTATTATCTAATTTCTAATTGTGCTTCTCTCTCATCAATATTCTTAATCCATCTTTGTCATTATATTTCCATTTTAGTCCCCCAGACTATTTGATTGCTTCCAATACTCATTAGTATCTAATTTATTCTATTGTTACACACAGTTCAGGCATTTTTACACATCTTAGAACTTTAAAAGCTTATTTAGTGATTTTATGCTGCAAATACAAAAAATATGCAGTTCCCATAAATAGTCACCACTTTTTGTAAACTGTAAGCAAACGTTTCATATACATGCATTGATAGAATTGAATAATCATATAAAATACATGCCTAGTTATACTTGGGTGAAAGATAATAGTATTTATACATCATGATTTAAAAATTTCTACAAATGTAAAGTTCTCAAATCTTAAATAATTAGGAATAAATGCTTTTTAGTGATTTGATTTTATTTTGCCTACAAAATGTCCCTCTGCTACCAGTTCCATCCAACCCATGCTTCTGCTCAATATTTCATTAGACGAAGATAATACAAAGTAATAGGTGTAGTAAACATGATTATTTTTACCAAAATCTCAATTTCTAAAATGAAAAATGAAAGTAATAATGTTAAACTTTTAGTAGAGCAATTATATTGTTTTCTTTGCTACTCTCTGCCTATGTATTTTTACCCTTTGCCTCATAAAATAAAACTGGAAAAATGTTCACTTACATATAAAATGATGCAAACATTTAATGAACATATGGTATTAAGCTAGAAATCTTTTTATTTGAAAGTTAAAATAAACATAATCTAATGCAAGTTGACAAAATTCGATCCCTTAAAAATGGTGCAGAGATGTAAAATTAAAACCAACTAGCTGATTTTCAGAAATGTGGGTCATAGTCTTTAAGTGATATGGTTTATTTTAGTAGCAGTTAAATAATCATGCAAAACAAACAAAATACAGCTCAGTTAAACTTCTTTAATTATAAATTTGATTAGTATATTGGAGTTGAAAATAAAAAGAAATCATTAATATAAAGGCATAAAATTTGGAATGAAAAAATAGCATCAATATTTATAAACAATTTATGGTTTAGAAATATGTGGTAAGAAACCAAAATAAATCAGAGATAAAAGATACACTGAATGCAGGCACATTTTCAATGAAATTTGATGTTAGACATTTCACTAAATGAGCTGAAACTTTTTCCAGGTACATGTTATAAAACAAGTTCATCTGCAAGTAATTTAATTTACTTATGTGAAAAAGCGCAGCAATGTTCTGTGTGGCATTAGGTGTCTGAGATGTATCACAAAAGCAATTAGATCATACTGGAAACCAGCTGTGCATCAAGTAGATTGCTTTTACCCAAGTGATAAAAACCTTGTAGAGTGTGAACAATATTGGGTATAAAATGTAACATTTTAATGAGCAACATAAGAGAGGAATAGAATGAACAAGAGAAATGGCAAATTTGCACAGGGCATGTGCAACTTGAAAGGAAAAAAAAGTGAGAAAGATATGTCTTGGATTGTGATAAACTGTTGACCTACTCTGGCTTTTAATTGGAAAAACTTACACATCATTTAATTAATTTATCAAATGTGTGATCCCAATTTGTAGTTCAGTCACTCTGGGAAAACTCAGAGACTATAGATGATATTCTGAAGGAAGCACACTTGATGTTACCAAAATCTATTCTTTACCAGTGAAGGTTTAGAGGAAAAGAGGTGAGAAAGCAATAAGGAAGGAATGAAGAAGGAGGCATAGATCAAGAGTAAGAGAGAATTGGGTTATTTTGATGGACATTCATGATTAAGAAAAGGCTAGTTCAGGCAGACCAACTCATATCATCCACACTGAACACTGTCATGTTGGAGTCACTGAATAAACATTAAATGAATGAATGGATGGATAATCTTTCTTGAGTTGGAGAAATAAATTTCAAGCCAATGAAAAGACTAACCAATAATACCATAAAGTTTTCTAAGTATTCTTAAGAAGAACATTACTTATATTACTTATTAACTTTCTAATGTAGCTTTTAACATCTACTGAGTCTGTGTCTTACTAATGAGATTTTACATTTTAAATGGTTCTAAACTTTGTTGCAATTTAAGAACACAGCTGCAAACTACATATGATTATGAACAATCACATATCCAGGGACAAGAGCATTATTTCCCTTTCTAAATTATTTATAATTGCTACCATTTACTGAGCATTTACTATATGCCAAGCCATTTACTAACCATATTATGTTTGTTTCAGTTATTTTTATTATTAATTCAAGTAACTTTTAAGATTCAAACTAAATTTTAATGGCAACATTTAAAACATTACATTTTAATGTCCTGTGATCCTATGAATTATATAGCATACTTCTTGTTTTCAGAATTCCTTCAAAATGTATGCAAATGTGAGAAGGGTTAATAAGAATAATTATTAGTTCAATGCCTAGGAAACTAATGGTAATTAAATAGGTCAGGTGACTAAAATTAATAATTTCTCCTTACAACCATATCGTATTAATTTAGGCTCATCCATATTTGAAATATAATTCTTATCAGAACAAGTAGCTACCAGGGGGCCTGGGTTGCTCAGTTGGTTAAGCGTCCAACTTCCACTCAGGTTATGATCTCACAGTTTGTGAGTTTGAGCCCCGAGTTGGGTTCTGTGCTGACAGCTCAGAGCCTGGAGCCTGCTTCAGATTTTATCTCCCTCTCTCTCTGCCTCTCCTCCCTCCCTCTCCCCCCCCCCAGCCCTCAGAAATAAATAAAATATTAAAAAGAAAAAAACAACAAGCAGCTACCATTATGGAACTTCTTAAAAGGGGTCATAACACTAGTCCAGAATAACCTGTACATGAAGAAAGAAAGGAAGTATACAGAAAACAAATAAATATAATTGTTTTTATTCTTCTTAAAATGTAATTGCTCTTAGGAAACACACTGCCACACAACAATTCATTCTTTTAGATTTTCACTGAATAGTTTCATTCCTCTGTGCATGTGAAACAGGTGAAGAAGAGGTGATATAAAATGTAAAATATTAAGGATAATATTCTATGTGCTTCCTATAGTGGTTCTAAAAATATTTTAATTCTGGAGTAAAATGTAATGTAAAACTTGATAAACGGTATAGACATGTTCATTATTGTGACTTTGGGGCACTGAGAGAAAGGTAAATGACAAAAATTTCCTGA